GTGTCCTGCACACAAGACAAAGAGGGAGGAGCGGATGAGATGAAGGCACGCTCATATTGCAGGGCGGTGGCTGCGTCCCGCGCCTACCGACGAAGAAGCGGCGAATGCGCTCCTTCTGATCCTTGCTCACGCCACTTGAGAAGATCGGGCCCAGCTGCTGTGCTATCTCCTCCTTGGAGGCGCCGCTGTTGAGGATGGTGCCGATTTCCTCCCATTTGTCGGCCTCCTTCTGCCCCTCCTTCCTACCCTTGTCGGCTGTAGACAGAACACGACAGAAAGCATCCATGCATCTTGGCAACTACCACCTGGCGGTGTTTCTGTCGTGTGCTCACCCTCTCTCCCCTTTTTGCCCGTCTTGCTCTTCTGCCGTTTGGATGTGTCCTTCTCGTCCGCAAACGGCCTGCCCGCGGGCCGGCGTCCTCCTCGCCCCGCCATGCGTCAGGGGTCGATAAGCAAGGATCCGTCAAATATAAAATGCAGGCAACGATTCATCACGTGACGCCTGAGAGAAGACGAGACGTGACCAAGGGAGATATACCAACAGTTCTCTCAACGTATGTGTGTCTCTCTGCTTCCTGGCCTACCTTGAGCTAAAAGTATTTGCGCCAGCCGCTCTCCAGGTCCTTCACGGCACCGGTTGCGGCGTGTGGCTGTTGGCGGGGTTGGGAGGGCGGGGATGTCTGTTAAGGCGCGTGTCGATCTTGGCCTTCGCGCCTTTTACCCTCCCTCCGTCCCACACCCTCCGCCATGCCCTCTCCTCCCGCTGGCGCAGCTCGTCCTGGCTGGGGATGCCGCCCTTGCCCGTGGCTACCCAGGGCTGGCGGCGCTCCCCTTTGGGAGGGGTGGGGGCGGAGTCGAGGGACTTAAGTTGCGCGGCCTTTGGTGGCGGCGCGAGGGGCAGGGTGTGGAGGGTGGTGGTGGCACTGGCCTGGTGTTTGGGCATCCACAGGTCATCGATGTGCTCAATGGCCTGGATGCAATGCAGACGAAACCCCGACGCTCTACCCTCCTTGTTTGTATGTGCTTGGGCGTGTGCATGTGGAGTGAGGCAAGCCTGCACCCGCTCACCGGCTCGGTGTGGTAAATGCCACGCTTCAGCCGTCGCACCAGGTCTGCAGCCTCTTTAGTCTGCAATACAAGTCGAACAAATCAGACAAACCAACCACACACCCAACAATGTCGTGTGTGTGTGTGTGTGTGTGTTGGGGAGGGGGGCGGACCTGCGTCTCCGGCGACACCTGCAGCCGGCGCAGGCTGCTCTCGAGCTCCGCCAGCTTAGTGGCCACACACACACCGCCGCCCCCCACCCCCACAGCCCCGGTCGAGCCGCCCGCCGCCGGAGCACCGCCCCCCTTCTGCAGCCGCAGCTGGGCCGCAGCAGCCCGCATCAGGCGGGCCTCCTCAGCGGCCTCACGCTGCTCGCGGAGGGGCGACACGTCCTCATGGCCTGCACACAAGACAAAGAGGGAGGAGCGGATGAGATGAAGGCACGCTCATATTGCAGGGCGGTGGCTGCGTCCCGCGCCTACCGACCAAGGAGCGGCGAATGTGGTCCTTCTGCTCCTTGCTCACGCCAGCGTCGATGATCAGGCGCAGCTGGTCCCCCTTGGCCTTCATGCTGGCCCCGCTGCTCAGGATGGTGATGATCTCCTCAGAGATGTCGGCGTCCTTCTGCCCCTCCAACCTAACCTTATTGGCTGCAGACAGAACACGACAGAAAGCATCCATGCATCTTGGCAACCACCACCTGGCCGTCCTCTATCGTGTGCTCACCGTCCCGCCCCTTCTTGCCCGTCTTGCTCTTTTTGTACTTGCTCATCTCCTTGTGGTGCGGGCCGTCTGCAAACGGCCTGCCGGGCCGCCAGCCGTCGCGCCCCGACATGGATCACACTCCACGGTGACCGTCGCCCCTCTCGCCCTGCATGGCCACTGCAAACAAAGACAGACATACCGACAGCCACACAGTCGTCTGTGTCTCGTGTTGTGTCGCCCCTCTCTCTCTCTCTCTCTCTCTCTCTCTTTGTCTGTGCCTGACCCTTCACGGAATCGAGCAACGTGAGGCATTCGGCCACCCCCTGCTGGCCCTTCCGCACCATCTCACGCAACTCCTCGCCACTAAGCCCCTCTCCCCCCTGTTTGGTTGGAGGCATCCATATATATGTGTGTGTGTGTGTGTGTGTTGGGGAGGGGGGGCGGACCTGCTTGTACGCAAGAGACCCCTGGAGGCGCCGTAGGCCGCTCTCCAGGTCGGCAACCTTAGCGGCATCCACACACACACCCCCGCCCCCCGACCCCCACAGCCCCGGTCGAGCCGCCCGCCGCCGGAGCACCGCCACCCTTCTGCAGATGCAGCTGGGCCACGCGATCCCGCAGCAGCCGGGCTTCCTCAGCGCCCTCACGCTGGTCCCGGAAGGGCGATGCGTCCTGGTGTCCTGCACACAAGACAAAGAGGGAGGAGCGGATGAGATGAAGGCACGCTCATATTGCAGGGCGGTGGCTGCGTCCCGCGCCTACCG